AAACCACCGAGCTAAATCCCCAGCAAGGAGGACATGTACTCTACTTCTTTGAATGTGTACTTTTACATTTCTGCTTAATAAAATCCCTTTGTGCCTCTTACACTGCAAATTCTTGTTCTGTGACAGAAGCCTGCAAACATGCAACTTACACCACAGGTAGGGTGGGTTTAGATTCTCCACCTCTGCTTTGGAAACCTTGGACCTTGTTAGGTGACAAAGCCAGAGCCTTTACCCTGGGTTACATCCCAATCCCTTTTGTTTTATTTTCAGACAAGGTCTAGCTAAATTGCTAAATTTTCCAGGCTGGGCTCAAACTTAGAACCTTCCTGTCTCAGCTTCACAGAGTGCTGCAATTACAGGGATTACAGGTGTGGACCACCATCCCCTGCTCTCCTTTATTAGGCAATTCTTTTCACTGGGCAAGTGGCTTCTTCCTGCCTATTGTCTGCCAGTCTAAAGTCTCTCCCCCCTTGAAGCCTTCCTCTAGTCCCACATAAATCCCTGGCCCACAGGTTATCTCTCCCTTTCTTCTTTTGTAACCATCTTTCTTCTTCTGGAATACACCCTTCTTACTAGCCCCAGTCATTCTGCCTCATTATCCATATAGAGCCAACTTCTGAAGCCTTGGAAAGGCAGGTGTGTCATTCCAGCTCAGTCCCCTTGGACTGCTTTGGGAATGGGCAAAATGTCCAGCTTATTCTACACTGTGCTCTGCAAGATTGCTATAGACATGGGAGAACCTAGATTTGAATTCCAGCAGTACTATGTGTTGCCTTTGTTTCCTCATCTGTAAAATGGTAACAGGGCTGCTGACCTCAAGGGATGTCAGAGGGAATGTGAAGGAGAGTAGTATGCTTTGAAGGGGGTTGGGAAGGAGGAATGACTTAGAGGAATGCAGGAATGTCCCCTTTGACCTTGCATGTGGGTGATGGTCCTCTGGCCGGGTGTGGGAGGCTCTGCCCACTCCCAAGGCTGGTCCAATTTCTTGCTCTCCAGCTTCCTATTTGTTAGCCTGTCATCTCTTTCTCTGTATCCAGCTCTCTTTCTCAAGCTTGTGTTGTGTCTCTGTAACTACACACATCTGCTAGCTGGGTGCTTTAGGGAGTCTCTGCCTGGTGAAAAATTGGCCTGGGTGAACAAGCCCAGCATCTCTCCAGATCTTAATTTCTCATCTTTAAAATGTGAACAGTGGGCCTGGGATTTAGCTCAGTGGTTTTGCCACCTGCGCAAACTCAAGGACTGGAGTTTGATCCCTGGTACCAAAAAAAAAATGTGGACAATAAGAATGTATGGGCACAAGGACCCGAGTTTGATCCCCGGTAGAAAAAAAAAAAAAAAAAATATATATATATATATATATGTCTGATATGTCTGTGTGGACATGTTGATGCACCCCTATAATCCCAGCAACTGGGTGAGTGGGAGGCAGCTGAGGCAGGAGGGTCCCAAGTTCGAGCCCAGCCTAGACAATTTAGTGAGACTCTGTCTCAAAATAAAATAATAGTTGGGGGGTGCACTCCTATAATCCCAGCACTCAGGAGGCTGAGGCAGGAGGATCATCGTGAGCTCAAGGCCAGCCTGGGCTACATGAGTTAAAGGTCATCATGAGTTCAAGGTCAGCTGAATTATATATCGAGACCATGTCTCAAAAAAGAAAAGAAAAGAAGGAGGCCAGGGATTTAGCTCAGGAGTTCCACCACCTGCCTCACAAGTGAAAGGACCTGAGTTCTATCCCCAGTACCCCTCCCCCAAAAGAAAACATAAATAAATGAAGACAGTAAAGGACTGGGGGTGTAGCTCAGTGCTCTCTGGGTTTAATCCCAGTTAACGCCCCCAGTGCACACACAGTGTACCTTGTGAACTTGCAGTAAGATTGGATTTTAGGCCAGTGCTGTTCAGCATGGCAGCATCTCACTGTGTGTGCCTATTGAAATTTGAATAAATGAATGTTAAACAAAGTTTAAAACATTTATCTCCTTAGTCACCCTTGACACTTTTCAGGCGCTTACTACCCCACATGTGGCTAGTGGCTACCGTATTGGATGGTATGGATACAGGGCATTTCCATTGTCAGAGAAAGTTCTAGGACCGTGGGAGTGTCAGTGGCACAGTGCTTGCCTAGCATGTGTGAGGCCCTGGGTTTCATCCCTGCACTGCAAAAGGAGGGGGGGATTCGCTTAGATATCAGACAGTTCTGGTTTGGGCAGGTCATGTGAAACAGTCAAGCCTGGAAACATTCCAGCTAAGTGCAATAAAGTTTAACTTAATTTGAAGTTTAAAGCTGAGGCAGGGTCATGATTTCAGGGTATAGTTTTGCTTTCCTTAAAGTTCCAGCACAGGGTTGGGGATTTAGCTCAGTGGTTCCACCGTCTGCCTCACAAACTAAGGACCTGAGTTCGATCCTCAGTACCAAAACAAAAACAAAAACAAAAAAACAACAAAAAAAAGTTCCAGCACAGACCTGCAGCTCACAAGAAATGTTGGACTGTTTGAGGGCATTTCTAGGATGAGGATTGTTGGGTTGCAGAAAGCAATACCCTAGCTAGAGCACACACCTATAATTCCAATACTTTGGGAAGCTGAAACAGGAGGGTCACAAGTTCAAGTCCCACCTGGGCAACTAAGCAATTTAGTAAGATCTTTCTCAAAAAAAAAAAAGAAAAAAAGCCGGGCATGGTGGCACATACCTGTGATACCAGCACTCGGGAAGGTAAGGCAGGAGGATCACTGGGAGTTTAGGGTCAGCCTGGACTACATAGTTCAAGGCCAGCCTGAATTACATAGCAAGATCCTGTCTCAAACCCCCTCCCCAAAAGGGGTCGGACTAGTATATAACTCAGTGTGAAGGCCCCAGTTTCAATCCCTAGGACCAAAAACCAAAAATAGTCCTCCACACCCCAAAGTATGGCATTTTGGCATGCAGAGAACTTTGAACTGAAGGACATTGGCAGAACATCAGAATCAGAGTCTGATATTTTCCTGCCATTATTTCTTTTATTTCCCTTTGTGGCTCAAGTTAGTTTCAAAGAAACTAGAACTTCTTTCCACCAAAGCCAGCCACAAAACTTAGACATTAGTTTAAACTTTTGTATAGGAGCTGGCTAGAGAGAAATACTCTGACTTACTGTATCTTGACTGATAGTAGTTCATAAGACCCTCTTTCTAAAAGGGGCCCTGGTAGGAAGGAAAGCCAGAGAGACCAAAAAGAATGTGAACAGACAGGCTTTGCTGGGGTCCCCTACTCTGTTACATTATATCATTTGCTTTTGTCCAATCACATTTTTACATGGCTGTTTATTTTGCATAGAAGCTAAGCATGAAATAGCTTTCCCTGTATCTTTGGATCTTCATTTCTGTAAGCTCCTATGTCTCATAAAACTTTGATTAAATAAATTTGTTATGCCTTTCTCTCATTAACCTGTCTTTAGGAGTGTTGACCATGACCTTATGTTGGGGAGGGAAGGGATCATATACACCTCTCCACCTTTACCTGGCTCGGCCAAGTTCAAAACAAAGTTGTGATTCTCACTGAGAGGCAGGCACTTAAGGTGTGATTCACTCCTCTGGTGGAGAGTGATAGCGAATAGTGGAAGGAACAGCTAACTGTAAGGCCGGGCTTCTAGCATCTAGAACTTTCCACTGTTGGACTTTTCAAATGAAAAGTGGCCATGTGGGTTTGCAAATGTGCTAGGTCTCCCTCCCCAATCTATTTTTAAAATAAATTTTATCCCATAAATCTAACTTTTTGTGAGAGAAGAACATTCTAGATCATAGCTTGTGAGACCCATATATGGTAACCACCTGGCTCCTTTATAAGAGAAAATTAATTTGTGGCTCAGAAAAGTGCAGTGACTTGCTAGTCTCTCAGTGAGCAAGGGCAGAGTAGGACTTCTATGGGCAGCTTCCTTGAAGCCATAGCTTAGCATAGCGTTGATATTGCCGAGGCAATAGAGATGGTATGTTCTGCCCATCTTGCAAGCTCCACCTCCAGGGGTCTCTACAGATGCTTGTCTTGACTAGAGCAGGTAGCCAACTTTGAGGTGCAGCCTCCAGTTCTGATCCCTCTGAAAATCTCTGAGAGGGCAGGCTTGTGTCCCGCACGTGTCAGGTTTAGGGCTGTTTCTTTCTGGGCCCAGCACATGGCCTGGCACACAGGACATGCCTTGTGGGTGATGATATAAGCAAGGGGAAGAGATGGCTCGCCTTGCATGTGTGTGTGTGTACAAGTGTGCGCGAGGGTGAGACCATGTGCCCTGCATGCGGGGTTTCTGTAAATCCCCAGTGACCAGGGGTTTCCACCTTTTTAGTTCATGAATCCCTTTGGCAATCTAGTGAAGCATGTGGGCCCCTTGCTAGAGTATTTTGGGGGTATAGTTTATTGAACTATAACACACACGGAATGGTGCACATCTAACGTGCATTTTCACAAAACGCACACACTTGCAGCTCAAGAAATCAACCTTGACAGCGCCTCAGAGGCTCCCTAGCCCTGTCCAATCTCCACCTCCCAAGAGGAGCCTCTCTCCACAGTGGTTTCAAATGCAAATTCCAAGAGTAGGGAGGCGTTTATTTTGGAGTATGGTGGGGCGGAGTTCTGTGCCTGTGGGCCTGAGGCAAGGGTGTGAGTTGGGGGGTAAGGCTAAGGGTGGTGTGTGTGGAGTTGCCGGAGGTATACAGGGGTGGGGGCATTTGTAGAGGTCTGAGCAAAGGGTGCTGGGCATGTGGGTTAGGGTATTAACGTGGCGCCTGGGATTTGGGGGTTGAACAGGGCACTTGGGCGTCGTTTGCCGGGCAGTGTTGGAGGGCAGGCTGTCTGTGCGGGGTCGGAGGGGAAACGGTTGGGAGGGGGACTCTGGGCAGTGGAGGGGCGGGGCCACGCATGGGCGGGGGGTGTAGTAGGGCAACTGGGCGGGGCCTCGACGGGGCTCCGGTGGGGTCGCAGGGGCGGGGCCGCGGAGGGGCGGGGCAGGCGGGCGCGCACACGCCATTGGCGCGCCCCCTCCCAGCCGCCATGTTGGCTGGTGTGTGGGTGTCAAACGGAGCCAGACGCGGCGGCGGCAGCAGCTCCGCGGGCTCGGGTAGCCCCGGTCTCTTCGGCGCTGCCGGCGGCCGCAGCCGCGTATCCGCGCCGGAACGGCGGAGCGGAGGTGAGCCGGCAATTCGGGGAGCTTGAGCTCCCCAGCGGGGCCTTAGGGCGCTGGCCCTCTCCCTCCGCGGGGCGCGGACGCTCTTGAGCCACAGGCTGCCCTCACCCCAGCAGCCCCTCAGAGCTTCCAATCCTCCAGCCCCAGCATGACCCCACTCTGAGAAGGATCCTCTTCTTTCTAACCAGACCCCGCCCCGCAGGCTGGAGCATGGTTCCTTCCCCACCTGGATGCCGCTTTCCGCGGCAAAGACCCTTGTTTCCTTATCAGGGAGCGCTTCCTTTTATATCCCTGGTGTCCGAAAGGCCCCTTCAGTTTGGAGCAACGCCGCCCCCCTCCCCAGAGTACATTCCATCCCCTCCCGGGCCGGGCACCCTTTCCTCTAGAGCCCAGCCTGGTCTCCCGCCCCCGTCCAGAGCCGCCGCCCGGCCTCCCTCCAGGAATCGGGGGAGGGGGTCCCCCTTCTCGGTCAGGATTTTGGCTTGTATTCCTTTCCTTTGGGCTGGAATGGGGCCCCCTTTCCCTCCCGGGGGACTAGGTTCCTCCTCCCCAGCCTCCACCCGCACATCACAGAGGGGACGGGGGTGGCAGAGCCAGGTTCCAGCTGCCTTTTGTTCCGCGTGGGACGGCAGAGACCCGGGCCGGAGGTCCTGCTTTGCTAGTCGGGGTGGTTGAGTGGGTGCGTAGGGTCAGCATCTTCCTAGAGACCCTCCCTGTCTTTTCTCCTGGGGCGGCTCCCGGGAGCGGGAGCGTTTGGGAGAGGCAGGATCTTCCTAGCGGAGTTGGTGCCAACAGGTTTTTGTTTGCGATCTGAAGTTGGCCCGGTGGCTTTGCAACGGGGCAGCTTGAGCTCCCTAGAAACCCCAGCAGGGCCCGGGAAAGCCATTTCTCTGTCGTCCCTCTTGGCTCCTTCACCGTTGTGGTAACTTGGAACAAATTTGAAGTCCGCTTTAAGAGTGGAAGGGGCTTAACTATCATTCCGTTTTTACTAAGGGAAACTCAGGCCCGGAGATGCAGTGATTTGCCCAAGGTCACACAGCAATCCTGTGTCAGTACCGCAGTTGGAAGCTCAGTCTCCATTGTTTTTCCACAACACTTAATAACTTTTTAAAAAGAGAGATGTTCAGGATTTCTCCAACCCCTTGCCTTTTATTTTTAACATTTACACAAGAAAATGGGCAGGAACAGATAAGAAGTGTAAATTCTTTCTGCCTCCAGAAAATACCTCAAGAAAGAAGAGATTGGATCAGGGGGTTGACATGATTGAAAAAGATGAATTTTAATTGTTTTCATGCCCCCCATTGTGTATTGTAACGCAGATTTGGCAGAAAATGCGTATCTTGTAGCTATAGATAAGGAATGGTGGATGGTGACAAAATCACATACTAAATTCTGCACAGCAGTGATTGAGTTTGTACTGATAATTAAGTTTTCATCTGTATTTAAATGAACACCAAAAGGGACTCCAATTTGTTTCTGAACAGTACTTGTTCAGGTGCTTAGTTAGGGCAAATTACTGTGTTGGGGAGGCCACTTAGATGTTCTCATCTTTACCTGCATTTTTTTTCTTTTACATTGTTAGTGTTTGTTTTCCTAGTTCTAAAATTGGGGTACTCTTTTGTAGGTATTTGTTATTAATAGTTTGGGAAAGTGTACATTACCGTAAGGCCTGAATTAGGATTGCCTGCATCCCACAAATTCCTGGACCAGGAGTCTTGGATAATCCTGTGGGGTTTACTGATGCCTCCAACTGATAATACCTGGCATGCTGTATAGAGTCATGAAAAATGACCCTTCCTTAGTAGAAATCCTCTGTAGAAATGTGGTTGCCTCTTATGTAACCTTCTTTTATAATGAGGTGTGGATTTCCCAAGAATTGAGATTCTGATAAGAGTCCTACAAAAGTTGTTGAAAAGTGTTTGGGACTCTTATTTTAATGGTTTGGTTTTTTTCCTGAGGTAAAGGAAGGCTTTTTTATTTTTTTAAATTAGCTAAACTGGCAATTTCCAGTTCTTTGTGGTCTAGAGTGCTAAAAGAATGGATTTCATGAAAAATTCATGGAATTCCATGTCATACTTTTGGGACCCCCCCCCCCTTTAAAGTTCGTTCTTTCTTTCTTTCTGTCTGTCTTTCTGTCTGTCTTTCTTTCTTTTTTGGTTTTTTTGAGATGGCCTTGAACTCACTATGTAGATAGGATGTGAATGATTATTTTATGGCCTTACCTAAGTGACCCTGAGCCTTGGGGAAGTCAAAGGGCTTGAATTTGAAGCATTTGAGATTGGAGAGGATATGAGGAATTAGGTAGTTCTATTCCTTTAACTCATGTGTTTGGTTAAACAAACTTCTGTCTTTGCCAGCCAGCTCCACCAGGACCCTTTTCAGCTGTCCTAGCCTCCCCATCCTACAGTCTATTGGAGTGCTTTGCACATTGTGTGTTTGGGGCCTTTTTGACTCTGACATCTTTGAGGCCAGTGGTTGCCTTGTCTTTTCTACTGGTTAACTCAGTCTGTGACATAGGATAGATGTTTGGTAAAGGTCTGTAATAAGTATTCCTGTAGGCAGTAGAACACTTTTTTTTTTAAGCAGTGGCCAGGTGTATTTGAGAAAATAAAAGTGAAGAGTGAAGGAGTAACTGAGTCTGCAGAGTGAGATTGGGCCAAATTAGAGAAAAGGCAACACCTAGAGAAAGCAGAGCAGGCTACCATGGCCGGCTCCTCCTGGCATCTGTGTTGAACACATTTTTTATTGATTCCTTACTACAGGCTCTCCACAGTTCCGTTTTGCTCTTGCATAAACCACGGCTGTTGGGCTGGGGATTTAGCTCAGTGGTTCCAGCGCCTGCCTCGAAAGCGCAAGGTCCTGAGTTCGATCTCCGGTACCAAAAAAAAACAACAAACCACTACTATTGATCCAGCACCCCATGTGCCAGTCACACAGGTATTATTTTCCGTCCTAGAGATGAGGAAACTGAGATGCCGTGTGTTTAAGATCACAGTAAATGATGAGGCTGGGATTTTGAACAGGTGTGTGGAACTCCAGAATATTTGAGAAACTGAGTCTTACGGGGGTGAAGAGATGTACTGCAAGTTAGCAAGGGGTGTGGGATGATATAATTAAGATTGTTGAGGGTGGAGAGAGCACATTTTGTTGTCAGATGCTCTGTGAAACGACTATTCCATCTGTTGAAGCTTTGAAAATTGACAAGCTTTCTGGTAAGTCAGTGGAATATTTTTCTTAATGAGCTTGTTCATAGTGTCTAAAAATAGAAACTTAAGTACAATGATACAAGTGTGCGTGCGATTAAGTGTATGTTCAGTCACTTCCCTCTGTGGTTGTGTTTGACTCTACCTATTTCCAGTCAAGAACTTTTCCATGTTCTGATTTTATTTATTTATTTAGTTTGGTCCTGGGGACTGAACCTAGGCCCTTCGAACTGAGACCTGGCTCTTTTTTATTTTTTATTTTGAGACAGTGTTTTGATAAGTTGCTAAGTTGTCCAGACTGGGCTCGAATTTGTGATCCTCCTGCCTCAACCTCCCACAGTACTAGGATTTATAAACCATGTGCCACCACACCTGGCTCATGTTCAGAAATCTTGAAAGCTGTTTCAGTGGCCTTTAAGAGAACCAGAGAGAGGGCCGGGGATTTAGCTCAATGGCACCATGCCTGCCTTGCAAGCACAAGGTCCAGAGTTCAATCCCCAGTACCACAAAAAAAAGAAAAAGAAAACCAGAGAGAGGGTCGGGGATTTAGCTCAGTGGTTCCACCACCTGCCTCAAAAACTCAAGGTTCTGAGCTCAATACCCGGTACCAAAAAAAAAAGAAAACCAGAGAGAAACAATCATTATAATTTCACAGTGGCATATAACATAGTGATTACCACCCATCTGTGAATGGAAAACCTGAGACCCAAGAGAGGTTAAGTAACGTGAGAGGAACTTGGCAGAGCCAGGATTTAAACTGAGGTCTGTGATTCCCAGACCTGGGTTCCTTCTATGCCAGCCCCTGCCATAGAAAATGCTGCAGAATAATGGACATTCATTACCTTATTGGATGGATCTGTGATCTGAAATCACTGTCGGGTTTACTTAGATGGTTGGGAACTGGAATGAGAGATTTCTGGCTTTCTTCTAACCTTAGGATCTATGAAACACTGGTTTGAATGTCAGTAATTTAATGGACCAGTTTATCTGACAGACGGTAGATTTAGGGTTTGATTAAAAGAAAAAAAAGCCTACCTCCTTTGAACCAGATCTGCAACATTGTTACAATACTCCCTATATGTGTTGGATTCTTTTTGGTGACTCATTCCCAGTGTTCCTGGGTACTAAAGTCTGCTTTGTTCCTGAGTACTGAAAGGTTTTTTCCTGGTTCTGTTTTCTCTTGGTCCTGGTCTAGTGTATATTGCACTTTTAAGCCTGTTCTACAGATGGAACAGGTAATTTAATTCTCTTTCTGTTCAGAGCAGTGCAAGGAATTGGGCACTCAGAGAGCTGTAAATAAAGGAACTCCCATCTCCTGGTCATGTAACCCAACTTATCAATAGCACAGGGAAAAATAGGCTCATCCTGGGAGATGGCTGGCCATCTAGGTCTAATGCATGATGTGGATTTAAAAGCATTTATAATTAATCACTTTTGAGTGCCTGCATCTTTCCTCTAGCTCCTACCCCTCTGTGGTAATGTCACACTGCCGCAGGTCAGTAGCTGAGTACCAAATGGCACAGACAATTTGGCTACAAAGGCTATGCTTCACATTGCTCTAGAATCAGATGTGGGTGCTAATAAACATCCTGGCTGGGTAGCTTGGGACATCTCAATCATTGAGCTTTGGTTTCCTCTTCTCTGACATGGGTCTAGAAATGACCATTTTATGGAATAGATTCACACTGGCATGCATTAGAATCACCCAGGAGGCTGGTTCAGTAGTGGGCAGGCTCTAACCTAGAGTTTCTGATTCAGTAGGTAAGGCCTGAGAATGTGCATTTTGAACCACCCTTCAAG